TACATCTGAAACGATTTTGCGCAAGTTTGTCGATGGGAAAACAACCTCAAGATCCAAATAATCATCCTCGATAGTTAGGTGGATCAAATGAACTCTACATTCAGCACACCAGGATGTCTTCACCTCGCTGACACGTCCGGAGATGAGGTAAGAAGTGCCCTGGTATTTAAAACAAGAAAAGGAATTTCAAAAAAAAAAAATTAACAAGCATTAACAAACACAATAACTGCAAACGAGATCGAGAAGGATGAATGACAAAAAAGTTTATTTCAATAACCTCATCGTCACCATTCTCTTGCACCAATGTAAGCTCGATTGAATCCGACAAAATAGACATAGATACTGCTTCCTCATACTTCAGCTTTGCAACGAAACCAGGCTCAACCATAAAGTCGCTATAAATAAAACTGTTAGTAATGGCTGACAAAAGGAATAGGAAGCGGAGTAGACTGTCGTAACGATTAGTTGGTAAACAATACTTACGGGTACCATTGCGATATATAATCCATTGTCAGAAAATTACAGCACGGAAACCCTACTCAATTTCTGTTCTTGCACGTACTGTGGATGTTCAATAGGAGTATAAGAACACATTATGATCAACTATTCTAATAAAACGTACCAAATAGTTAACAATCAATTAAAGAAAAGTACCTGCGGCGGTGGAAACGTGGCCGGCGACACCGCGTGGCTAGTCGAGCAGATCGGGAACGAATCAGCTAGAGCGAATCAGCGACGGAGGTGGCAAGCGACAATGGTGGTCCGCTCTTCTTCCCACAACCGACTTGGTTAGTCCTGACGACTTTCCTCCGCTCTTCTTCCCACAAACGCTAGGGCGAATCAGCGGCGGAGGTGGCAGGCGACGATGGTGGCCCGCTCTTCTTCCCACAACTGACGTGGTTAGTCCGGGCGACTTTCCTCCGCTCTTCTTCCCACAACCGCTACAGCGAATCAGCGGCGGAGGCGGCAGGCGACGATGGTGGCCGGGAGGAGGAGACCGCTACTGAGCGACCAGCGGTTGATTGATCGGCGGAGGCGAAGATGTGCAAGCAACGGAGGCGGAGACATGCAACGGAGGCAGAGAGAGGAGGAGGGCGGTTGAGTATGTGTCTGAAGGAAAACAGAGAAGGCAGCGCATGGGGAGGGGAGAAAAAGCAGAAGATGAATCATTTGCTAGATTTGGTAGGTAAGTAGTCTTCCAATTTTCAACTTTGCCATTATTGTTCTCTGTTTTTTTTTTACAATTCATTATTGTTAAAGAGACAAAGGGAGGACTGCCGCCGATCTGCTCGACTAACCCTAATGGGCCTGATACAAAAGGCCTGCTTAGTTTAGTTTTATGTTTTAATTTTACAAGAACTGATTTGACAATTATAAATATAACAGTGGAAGTATATGAAATCAAAATGCTTGTTCATCAGCAATGGTGAAAAATGCCCATGGTAATGACCAGGACGCTGGTTCGACCCTCACACCATTTCAAAATATTTTGTTTTCAGCTACACCTATAGAATGACGCCGTTCCACGCCACTTTCGATTCAGAGACGAGCACAAAACGATGGCGTTTTTTCATGTATCGTCGTCTTCCCTGGCCCCTCCAATTATCCAGTTGCCGCCATCACCACTCACCACCGTAATCCGACGACCGTCTCTCTTCATCGTCCAAACTTTCTCACTCCGTTACGATTCTGGACTCCGACCAAGAGAATTCCCTTGACGAGACCCAATCCCCTCTCTCCATTTCAGCCTTAGTCATTGTTTACACGACGTAAAGGTAGTCGCTCACCGTCAATTGCTTCGGATTCGTCACGAAAGGGTAGCTGTCATCTGCGACCTTAAAAACAGATGATGAGCCAAAATCGATGTAGGTCGGAAGCAGGGACGATGATGATGGTAAAATTAGGGGTTTGCAATTGGGGTATCTAGAAAAATCGTAATGACGATGATGGTGGTTTAGGATTGTCGAATTGGGGCAACCTTTTAATGGAATTTTATTTTATCAATTGTATAATTTTTGGGTGTTCATTAAAAGATATTGAAGAAATAAGGTATCATCTGAGTTCTCACAAAAACGAATAGGTATCATGTGAGAAAATAGAACGATAATTATTATTGGGGGGCTTCATAGCACATATAATTATTTAAGGGGTGCAAGTAGTAATTATTATTACTAATTTTAATATAATTTATAATGACCGTTAGATTAGATCTACGGTAGAGAATCCTGTCGCATAGAATGTGTCTGACGCATACGAGTCGTTTCCTTATTAATAATATAAAGATAAAACATTTCCACATAGAATATTTTGATGAATTTTTTATTTTTTATTTTATTTTTGTAATGACGTGTCGTCCATCTGTCAGTGAATGCTGAGGTGGAAACGAAAGAGAGGGTGAGTTGGCATCCAAGTAAGCATTCCGTTAAATTGACTAACGGTGTCATTGACGTCGTTAAATTATGTAACGGAAATGGCTATTATTGTCATCAAACTTTCAAAATTCTGGCTATTATTGGTATTTCCCCAAAAGTGGCTATATTTGGCAAAATCGTCAAAGTTTTGGCTACACAAGTGAATTTGGCCTATTTAATTCCATTCATGGTCACTAAGATTAGTCCAATAGTTCAAATTTGGTCACTCTCCGTTAGTCTCCGTTAGTTTTGCTGATGTGGCAGTCAACTATTATAGTTGACCGTTAAATAAGTGACGTGGCCATTACAAAATATTAAAATAATAAAATTTAAACAATTACAATTTCCACATCATTTCACAAATATTAAAAAATAAAAATAAAATTTAATTCTTATTATTCTATAAACACCTAAACCTACCATTTCTCCTCCTCCATCACCGCCATCGCGCCACGTCACCGTTACCGCCGACGTTTTTCACAAGAATCAAATCGAAGGACCCGCTCACGGTGATCGTGAACCTCATCTCTAGCTTCTGCAGAGTCCAACCCTCAAGAGTTCAGGAAACCATGCCACGTTTTCCCACTCAAGTACCGAAAGGGCTGGACACACCGAAGCTTCTGTTGATCTAGTTATGCTACTCGTCGGGTTGCCGCCGGTCTCTGTTATCTCGGCCATCGTCGATCCAGAGGATGGGTCCATCGCTTCCTTGGAAAATCTCAGAAATTTGGCTGCGGCAAGCAACATACCAATCGTCTCAATTACCGATCTGGTAAGGTGAGGTGACCCAAATTGTTTAAATAACTCTAAACATTACCATTCTGTAAATTGACTTGCCGTCAAAGACGCCATTGTAGGTACCGGAGAAAGAGGGAGAAATTGGTGGAAAGAACAACCATCTCTGCCCTGCCCACAAAACGTGGCTACTTTGAAGCTTACTGCTACCGCTCAAAACTAGATGATACAGAACATAGGGTAAATTGCAACTTTGGTCACTGGGATTACTAAAAGCGTTCAAGTTTGGTCACTAAAAATATTTAATTCTATCCGTGGTCACTCAAATTAGTTTAACAGTTCAAGTATGATCACTGTTCGTTACCTTCCGTCAGTCTCCGTTAACGACGTCAGTTTTTTGCTAACGTGGCTAACAGAAACACCCAATCAGCTTATTTTAACCATAAAAAATTCATACCCAACATGCCACGTCATCAAAACCAACCCAACCCATGACCTGACCCTATACACATTTTTTATTTTTTATTTACTCAATAATAATTATCTTCTCCCCTTCTCCCCGTTGCACAACTCCTCCCTTCGTTGAATTCCCCCACAGCCACATACCTTACTTACCGTCCTTTCTCTTTTCCACAACCACCACTTCCATTCCTCAACTCTACCTCCGAGTTCTTCCTTCTCCAAACAACACCTTCGCCGCCATCACCATCCTCATCGGGAGTCTCACCGGAAGCTATTCTCTCCTCTCAATCGATGTTGACGCTGTGGCCATTGTCCTTGAAATTAATAACGCTATCGTCTTATCCATTTCCCGAACCCTCATCATGTTCCTCAATTCTTACAAACCCAAATCTCAGCTCCAATCCGAAATAAATCCCCGGACCGTGAGAGCATTATTGTAGACCGCTTTGTGTTATCTTGTCATTTGTGGTGGCTCCACTTTTTTGAAACAAAAACGGAGAGATTCAGATCTAAGCAGAACTACTACTACAACCACCAGGACTACGACAACGACGGAGCCTCCATCGCCTTGGGCGGTGGCGGCGGTAGAACGAACCTCCGGTATAACAACTAACAATATTTCCCTGCCGCCGCTGCTAAGTCCCACAAATATCCACCTTCGAATAACAAATCTCAGCCTCTAAAGCTCGCCAAAAATCACCCCCACCTGCGTCTCGGTTTGACCGACGTCCACGATTCAACGAGCCTTCCATCGGACAGATCTCTGATTGCTCTGCTTATTCTTTTATCTCGCGGAAGAAACCCAGAAGATCTCTGACTACTCCGTCGCGATCCTCTTCTTGTTTTCGACAACGGAAGCAGAGGAAGAGGGACAAGGGTGGGTGGAGTCGGAGGGCAAGGGCGGCCGGGTCGACCAGAATAGAGAGGGTGGCGGACGGGCTGCATCCGTTCCTCTTCTCCGACGACCGGCGATCTGAGGGTTTGCGGAGGCCAGAGTTTCACCGATGGGTGGGATTTGGCTGCCGGTTTCAATGTTTTTAGTTAAGTTGACTGGGTCGGGTCACGGGGTATTTGGTTCCGTTTGGTTTAAAGTATACGACGTGGCGAGTTTTAATGATGTGGTGGTTTTTTTATTTTATTTTTCGGGTTAAAATAGGCTGATTGGGAATTTCTGTTAGCCACGTCAGCAAAACACTGACGTCGTTAACGGAGACTGACGGAAGGTAACGGAGAGTGACCATACTTGAACTGTTAAACTAATTTGAGTGACCACGAATGGAATTAAATATTTTTTGTCACCAAACATGAACGTTTTTAACAATTTCAGTGACCAAAGTTGCAATTTACCCGTGAACTTTCATGGTTAAGTAATATATATATCTGACTGCTGATGAGTTTACTCACCTTTTACCAGTCAGAGCTCCATAGGATGATGTAGTGAGAAACCTAGAAACCCAGAGAAAACTTCCATGTAGTGAGGCAAGACCAAATCTCCTGCAGTTGTAAGATTATAAGTTTGTCAAAAAAGGGTCAGGCTATCGATTCATTAATGACTGTATAATAATTCGACTAGATGCCATATTCTTGACTATGGTCCTGAAATCTAGAAAGGAAAACTTAATTGACCAACGCAAAGAAAGGCAAATACCTATGCTCAAATAGTTGTTGTGAAGAAGTGAGACAATAAGACTTGATGTCATAGTATCTTTCCCCTGCTTATACCGCGAATCGACTTCCGTTGGAGATGCAAATCCCTGAGAATCATTACATGGTGTAATTTCAAACCATAAACCACAAGGGAATCTTCCCCATCTCAATAGCCAAAGGAAAATTTCAAAATAAGGTGTGCCATGGATCATCAAGATCACCACATCAATCATCGTACAGATCGAGGTAATGCCCATGTTTAATATGGTGAAGAAAATATAGAAAACAGATGTAGTTGGTAGTAACAGAAGAAGTGGTGTGAATAGAAGGGATCCGACAACATGCTGCTTCACTACTATCTAGCCTCTGGCGAAGTGGATTCTTTTTTCTACCACTGAAAAGACGCCAGATTGCACCTAATGCCGCTATCTGGCTAGAATATAAAATTGAGACCCCCCTGTGAAGGGCGGAAACATGGGCAGTGGCCAGCACAACAATATCAATAGCTAAAGCAGCAGGTATAGTCAGCCCAGAAAGAATTCCCAGCAGAGCAAGTGCTTTGATGAAATAAATGACGAGGAAACCGATGATGACCCAGACTGTAGACCATATTTGTATCGCATTTAAGGAAACCATGCCGAGAATTCGAGCTAGCTCTGTGTTCAACTTAAAGCCGGTTGGAACTCCCATCAACTACACACAGCCAGATCGCAATATCTCATTTGTAGTGCCCTTGGCGAAGAGTGAAACCCACAAGCACACAGATTCTACATGAGAGAAGAGCACTAAGCCAATCAAGTTTCCGAATAGAAGATCAACTAATAAACCAGTCCACATAGAATGCCTATGTAGTGCATCTTTTCTGCACACTCCACACATGCTCGTGACCTGAAAGATACCACCCAAAAAACGAAAGTGAGGATAGAGAGGAAGAAAGAGCACCTAGGCAACCATCAGCAACTAACAACCACCCAAAGAACACTGTGAACAAAATCCTAGCACCAAGCTAGATAATAAATTTAACAACTAAAGAATATTGCTTAACTATCACATAATGCATGCAAAAAGAGCAACAGCGAATGCAACAACAAATATAAGATCAATTTTCACGAGAAAGTAAGATCTTATTCATGCATTCAGGACCTAAAATGTGAATATAGCATAGCACCTTGTTCCTTCATTTTATTAAGCAAAGGAGTTCATTTATTGGCCAATTTTATTAGAAAAATTGGCCAATAAATCATCTAACCGCAACGAATGCACACATTTTTTGACATAGTGGGAACAAGCTTTGCAGATCTGGTGCAGATCCATAGTCCATATCGAGATCAAGAGAGGTTATGGAACAACTGAAGAATGATATACATTATAGTGGAAATCAATGCCAAGAATAAAGCCAGTGCTTGCCATACTAAACCAAGACACCTGAGAATGTTAAAAGGATAAACAAAGCTGTAAGATAAACTACCATGAAGCAAAATAAGGTAAGAACACAGTAGCAATGCACATACATGCTATCGATGCGATAGTTGGTGCAAGATCCATTAGACCCGATGTATCTCTGAAGAATCTTTCTAGCTGCAGAAGCACTGTTCATCGCCAAAATGAGTGCATCCTTGTCGATGAATTCAAAATACAATGATAACCAGCAACATATGCACATGATGCAAATGCATAAAGTGGATTCTGGGAAACTATGTTACTATGTCAAACTCTGGCTGGAATGCTTGAAGCTCATCCACCCCACTGAGGTTTCCTTAAAAGAGCCTCCTCTTGTTTAGAGGATCTCCAGAAATTCATCGCAAGGTGTTGTTTGCCATATACTGGAATTTCATATTTATTTAGCTACAGGGCAACAGATTATTCCTAGTTTTTGTACTTATTGAATAGAATAGGATCTTTCTTAGCCCACCGGTGTACGGGATTCACTAGTCTAGCCTTCTCTTCCCTCTGGGGAATATGATTCAGCTCTTGCTCACTAGATTTGAAGGGCAATCTATAAGAAAGATAAGGGACCCGGGAACACCTGTGGTTCTTTTATTTGGCGATACTCGTGCAAACTAATATCACCTAAACAAAACAGGAGAAGAGGAAAATAAGCTAAGAAGAGGCAAGGAAGCTTGCCAAGATATGTACTGGAAAATAATGACACAAATAGATGACTCACATACGTGAACATTACATTGAACTCTTATTTGCCCATTCCAATGAACATGATGCAACTGAGGAACCCAGTTGAAATCTCTATCGGATTGTTCATGAGACTTGTGCATCCAATGGATCCAATGGCCTCCTTCGACACCATTCTTCCAACAGTGTTGAATAAATCCTCAACCTTGAACCAATATGTAAAATGTGAAAAGTTTAGATATTAAAATGTCATGATGAAAAAATTTAGGTACCAAAATATAATTTTCCAATGATATTCGTATTAAAATGAAATTTTATGTACCAAAATATAAAATATAAAAAGTATAGATACCAAACTGTAATTTATCATTTGAATCCATGAATCCACCAATCCAATTGGATTTGGATAAAATGAATTGAATTAGGTGGATATTTTTAATGGATTGGTGGATTGAATTGAGAATTGCCACCTCTAGGTATAAGTAGTAAAAAAAAAAAAAATGTGGGACTAAATATGGATTTGGGATGGAGGCATGGAACAAGGAGATCTAAACATTGGGTCAATAAAGGTTGAACATTCACGATTGATTGTAGTTGTAATTGTCATTTCTATATATTACAAATATCCTAGGTACTTAAGATTGATAGGACTAATTAATTCTCGACAACTACAAATATCTCGAAGTACTTAAGAAAGAAAACATGTCCACTCTCTATTTTACGAAAAGAAAATAAGTTCATTGCAAGGGATCAATTTGAAGTTAGCTTCCAAACGAACTACGATTGGTTCGAAAAGAAGGAGAACATACGCTGCATGTTGTGAGTTGATTTTCTTCTTTGATTATGCGGCAACATTTCTCCAAAGGGTTATGCTGACGAAAAGACATTCTTGTTTTCAAACAATTGATTTCATACCCAACCAATCATCTCATTGAAAGAAAAACTCGAGCAACAAGAACAGAAAAGCACCCATGATGAACATCACAAACTAAGCCAGTGGAAACTATGCACGAACAGAAACAATGGTTGCAGACAATCTTATATCTGTCATCAACAACCTCAAACATTCTTCACATTCATGAATTCGATACTTCGATTTTCATCTGCCAAATTAGGATTTTCGATGAAATTCTCGTCTCAAATCCAAATACCAAATTCATTACCCAAATCCCCAACATCAAATCACTCCCACAGTACTACCATTCAGACTTTCTCCACCCGACTGAAACTGCACAAACCCACCCAGCCCCACCACGAAGTTCGAAACCATCATGATCTCCTCCACCACCCTGTCCACGACTCCGCTCCTGATCACCGGCGGGAAGAACAGCCACATCGACGTCGGCATCACGAAGCCCATCGTCAAGGCCCACTTAAAGGCCCAATGAATCCTGCTCACTCTCTTCTCCCCTAAAAGGGCCCCCAACCCAACCTCCGCGACCAGGCCCAACCCATGGAGCACAAAGAACCATGTGACCTCCCACGTGGGAGACCCCCGGATCGTGTGGTAGTACACCATCTCGTGGGCTAGCCCGGATACGAGGAAAGTCGCCAGGAGGGCAGGCAGCGGGGCCCACTTCTTCCCGACGACGGGGGACAGCGTCGTTTTGACGGGGAAGTATACCATGCTCCGCAGCATCTCGGTTACCATGAGGTTCCACCTCCTCCCCCAGAAATCCCTCAGCGAGGTCGACAGGTACGGCTCATCGGACGGCGGGTGGACCTCCACGTCGATCGCCGCCGTCAGGATGAAATTGCACGCGCCGAAGGACACATCGACGAACAGGAACATCATCCCGCAGTACATGAACCGCAGGGCAAACGGGTGGAGATTTTCCATCATCTGGCCGTGGGACCCGACCAGGATTGCGAGGAGAAGGGCCTTGGTCGGCCAATTTAACGGCAGAATCGGCAAAGGCGGAGACTTTCCGCCGTTTGGGGAGTTTTGACGACATGGGTTTTCCTGTTTGGGCTTGATTCTGGCCGGGAAGACGGCGATGACGATGAAATAGAAGAGGGAGACTGGTGGGTCCCTTGTCGTCAATGGGCCTTTGTCGAAGGCGAAGAGGAGGAGCTTGAAATTGGCGAGCCAGGAGATGAAGCAGGAGGTGAAGGCAATTGGGAAGATGTAAGTGAAGAGGAGAGGGAGGTAAGCGAAGAGGGAGACGATTGGGAGGATGGAGAGGAGCCTGATTTTGCCCTTGGGGAGCTTTGATGAGATGAAATGGCAGTAGGAAAGGGATGCCAGAATGGAGATGCTGACGGTGACTGAATTTTGGATCATTTCGTACTCCATCGTTTTGGAAATCCGTCTGTACGTACGTGATTTCTTCAGGGGATTGCAGAGTAGTGTGATCCTGAAGTTGGAAGGAAATGGCTGTTGTTTTGCTTTAATGGGTTGTGGAGAGAGGAGGAGAGGTAGATGCTTTTTCTCTCTTCAATGGGTTGATTGTTGTTGTTCTTTATTTTGCAAGTTTCGATATGAACTTTTCCGAGGCATGATTTTTTTTATGTTGCTGGTGAGAAAGTGGTCAAAGTTGGGAAGTTAGTGAAGGGTTTCTTTGTTTAATCGTATAGAAAAATGGTAAGGGAGGTCAGGTTATTATTTCGAGTTCCGCCATTAACAGTTGTTTCTGAAAGGTATTCAGTCGGTTTTCAAGTGGGAGGATTGTTTTTTGTTTTTCGCAAAGTCAGTGTTGAAAGAAAGTGGGAGGATTTTTCTATGTGAGTTATTTGTTCAGATAGCGGTTGAGATTTGAGAGTGTGCTTGTGACATCATTCCAGAATATGGGTGTAACGTTTGTGTATAAGTGATTGTGAGTTGGCTGACATGATGCTGTGGAATGTTATTTTAACAATTGTATGATGTTTCCCCCCCCCCCCACCCCCCCCCCCCCCCCCCCCCCCCCCCCCCCCCCCCCCCTCTCACTTTCTTTCAGTTCGCATCTCTTTCTTTATTGCAAGTTGTGTATCTATTAGGCAGTATACGAATTACGAATATTCAATTTATAAAACACCGTTTCTCATTTACACCATATTTTCAGCAGATGACCCATGTTAACGTTTGGATTGTTAACCTTTTTGCACTATGCATTAAAGTTTACAACCCAACGTACAATCCGCATTCATCAACCGAATAGTTCCTTATTCAAGTGGCTCAAATACATAATTGGTTGGCCTATGTGGGCTCCTTTTTTACCTTTTCATAATTTGCAAATTTTTTTTGGGTATAAATAATGTCCAACTTGAGCTTCATTAAGATGTAAAGGAAAGTGTAAGGGTCGACTAAAACGGGGGTTAATTGCATGATTGGTCACTGAGATTACAAAAAACGTTCAAGTTTGGTCACTCGAAATATTTAAATCCATTGGCGGTACTTAAGTTTACCAAAACCGTTCACGTTTGGTCACTCTCCGTCCAATTCCGTTAACTTTCGCTGATGTGGCAGTCAACTCTCAAAATTGACCGTTAACTTAGTGACATGGCAACTAAAAAATTATTAAAAAATAAAAAAAACTTTTATATTTTCCACCTCATTATTACATTCATTAAAAAAATAAAAAATAAAACTAATTTTTTTCCTGCAACTCATCTCGGCCTAGTTAACTGTCCAGCACAACAAACTCATCTCATCACAACAAAACAGAAACGGTGACTAGCAGGAAGTCTCCATTCTTCAAGACTAATATTCTTTTTCATTTAATAATAATGCCAGAGTGAGCGAACAGTTGTGTTCTACTGCTAAACTTCCCCAATCTCTGTCATTATCCCTGCTCCACACACATTTATATGAACTCCAAACCATCACTCTCTACACGAATAGTCAATTCAATCTGTGATCTAATCTCTGCCCCGTTCGACTCAACTGAAAAGTGGGTTGCTTGATGAGTTGCAGCCCCTCCGCCAGAAAAAATCACCACCGCCACCCTCGCCCCCTACAAGGGATGTCACCCCCGCCCGCTGCCTCGCCAAGAAGCCCAATCCTACGACGGAGATCTACAACAGTACAACTACTCATCGGAAAGGGAAAGGAGCCCGCCATCGGCGGCAGGACGACATCCCCAAGCTCACCAAGACCTTCTTCATGATGGGCCAGCAGAGTAGCAAGGGGAACCGTCCATTTACTCCCACCACCGATGACCCCTTCAGCGAGTCGATTGCTGAGTCAAGCGAGTCGCCGATTCACTGGGGGATCTGGCGGCGGAAGGAAGTTGTTTACACCATCCCTCTCGCCTCCGAATTCGGCAGTTTCACCTGCCCTTCCCCAATTGCGCTCGCCATTCCGCCGCTGAAAAGGGATTATGCGGTGGTTCCGGAAATAAGGGAGGAGGAAAAGGCGAAAAAGGTGGGGTCGTTCGCTAGAGAGAGGCTGGAGGCTTTCACGGCGGCTGTGGCGACGGTGGCGGCGCGACAGAGGAGTGAATTCGAGTTCGGGTGCGGGATGTTCCTGAAGGATTTCGGAGGGGAGGTGTCGTCGGTTTTTGGGAGCTTCGTGATGAGGAGTCCGACGAGAGGCGGGAGTCCGTTCAACGTGGGTATAAGGTATGGGTTTTGTAGAAAAAAAATTAGATTTTTTATATTTTTTAATGAATGTAATAATGAGGTGGAAAATATAAAGTTTATTTTTTTTTTATTTTTAATAATTTTTTAGTTGCCACGTCACTAAGTTAACGGTCAACTTTGAGAGTTGACTGCCACATCAGCCAAAGTTAACGGAGTTGGACGGAGAGTGACCAAACATGAACGGTTTCGGTAAACTGAAGTACCACCAATAGATTTAAATATTTCGAGTGACCAAACTTGAACGTTTTTTGTAATCTCAGTGACCAACCATGCAATTAACCCACTAAAACGGGTATAGATTTTATGTGGCAATTTACCAAACAAATGATAATGTATGTATAGTTGCAAATGTGAAAGTGGCCAAGTTAGCTAAAGTCGAAAACCATGTGCTTAAATTCAAAGTTGCAATTACCAAAGAAACAATGATGTTGCCACTAAAAAAAGAAAAAGGAATAATGATGTAAAATTGCAAATGGGATTCATCATGCATGAAAAGTTCGATGAAACACATAGAAGAAAGGATTTTCCACGAGTGCTGTGATTCGTGGTACCTCTATTTCTGTTGTTGTTCCATGAAGAAAGTTGTTACCTGTTACCTCCATTTGTGTGGACGATATTGTTGAATAATACAAAGTTGAGGTCTCGAGGAGTAACAAAAGCAAATCGAAACTAAGTTTTAAGTGATTTTTTATTGTTTAGAATGAACGAGACTATTTCACAGTAAATAATAATTATTTCACTTCCTTCAACAATGTCATGATATGTATAACTCGACACACAACTTGTTTCATCCTAATTACCCTAGCCGAGATGGAATTTGAATAAAAAAGCGTCCTAGACTCGACTCAAGGCCCTAATTAACATCTCCTAGGTATATATACACGGGTCTAAACTCTGATTGCATGTAATTATTTAACTCAACATCATCCCCCAACTTGATGGGGATATCACATCATCAATTTGCCAGTAAGATGCGTAGATGATAGGAATAAGCTCTTCTTGGTGATAAGATCTACAAACTAATCATCCGGAGCAAATAGCAATGTACAAGATACAAATGGTGTCATGCATCTCGAATTAAGTTATGAATATAATGAACGTACACCTCAATGTAAATGAGAAACATGATTCGTAGCAATACGAGTGTCACTTGTATTACCAACGGAAAGCTCCACATGTACTCATAGTGCATTTTGGTGGAGAGAGGAAGAGTCATGGACCAGTCAAAATAATAACAATAAATTTAAATACTTTGTTCAATTATTCACGTCATCGTTCGAGTAATTGTTGATAGCTAAATAACATTTAACTGTTCAGATAATTTTAAGTACTAGATTAGGGCACGACCACTTGGCCGGAAGAGTTTGATTTTCATGTATATGTCAAGTAAACATTGAGATATATTTTTGTTATAGTTCATGTTGTTGGGGATTGAAGTAACTATTTAATTTGATAAGTTCTCCATGAATAATATAGGAAAGTATTTAATGTATTTGACTAATAAAGTTTAAGAAATGACAAACAACGTCCAACTACATTAACAAAAATACATATTTGCAAACAAAGTCATATCTATATAAAAATGTCTAAGAAGAACAACGATAAGAGTTGTTTTACATCATACATGCATAATCAATTTTCAGTATACGATAAATTTTTTTGCGTTTTCCATTCAATGATATAATGAAACAAAGCATGCAGATCTCCAGCTGGCAAGTTCAACTAATAGAGCAACGCATAAAAAGCTAAATTAAACCGAAAAGAAGGAAAAAACTAATAGCAACATATCTAACATTTTGGGGGAAATCCACAACAATAAAAGTCATTGTAGCTCTTACTCAAGTTAGGAAGACTTTGATTTAATGGTAAGTAAACAATGATATGTAGTGCTTAAGAGGGAAGATGAGACCTTACATTGTTTATTAATATGCATCTTAGTTTCATAAATTTTACATCATTAAAAATTTATGTGTTGAATAGAAACCCATCCAAGTTTGGAGCCAATGGAAAATGTAAGTTATGAGGCAAATGAGAAGTCTCAAGCATCCACATGCTTGAAAAAATAAATCTATATTATCAAACATAAATTATATCTTGCATCAGAAAAAGAACAACAAGTAGTAATTCGATAATCAATATAAGAATCAATATGGACACAATATCTAACCAAGAGAAGAGAAAGCGAAAAACATAAATTATTGTGTATAGATTCTGCTCATGATATTCAAAGTGAAAAATATCATAAAAATTATTAACCAATAAAAGAGAACGGTAAAGGGGAAAATGCATCAATTTGAACCTAAAATGAGAGGAATTAATATCCTACACCATCACATATAATGATATATTATCCTAGAACATCATAAAAAATCTATCTAAAGGAAAAAGTATACTAAATTGAATCCAATGTAAAAGTAACGATGAAGATATATATTATATTCACCCAAGGAATAATAAAGTAAGCCATGTTTCTTAGGGACCTCTCTCGATAAACCACTCTATTATAAAACCCATTTCATCATACAATTGTATCAACTTAAACTTGAAGTGCTTATAATTAGCTATTTCAGCTCATGAATGATTTAATTATATTATTTGGTAAAAGAAAATAATTTATAAACTTGAGAGTTATTTCGTTTGTTGTTAAATAATTTAAACTAAAGTCTATGAAAGCGTTTCAGAACTGTTATTTTATTCATTATTATTAAAAATTACTATTTTTATTATAATGTCTAAGCATGTCTAGGCGAGCTAGGAAATAAAAAATGACCAATAATCGCCGTACGCCTAATGATCTGTTGAACGTCAATAATTATAGCAAACTTTGAGAGCATCTTATAAATTTGGTCACTTTTATTTTGGTATAATTGATTACATCATGAAAGCGATCAATCAAAGAATCTCTCTTTACGATTATGATAAGATGTCCCCTATTGCACAATTAGTATGACTAAATTGTAATAAGATAATCATATATTGAATTTTGAATTGATAGCGCAAAAGATTGAACTAACTCAAGTAGAGTTTTAGCTACTCAGTATTTCATATTCGCATGTAGATAGCCACTTCAAAGAGTTTGAATATTGATTGAATTTTTGAACTTTACCTAACAAAACTATGATATCAATCGCAATATATGATGCTTTTTGGAGAAATTGGGAGAATATGTTGGTGACATCAAACCTAACATGAATACCGTTGAATTTAAGTGATAAGAAACATATATGGTCAATAGATTATACATAAAAAATATATTTAGCATTTCCATAAGTTGGTATGAAGCAGTGAATAATTAGAAATTGAAAGCTAGAAACAAAGTTGATTTAATAAATAACTGAAAATGATTTTTGAAAAAGAAAACAAATGCTTAGAGCATAGCTAGGGATGAGAGTGTTACATTAAACTCTCAAAGAGAAAGCAAGTAACCATTAATAATTAGCTGTGGATGTTGAAATAGTTAACTATGATGAATACTATATACTGGTGATTAATACTTGGACCTTAGCTTGAACATTGCATCATTGCATAACACTTCATTCAACACTTCAATTTAATGCGCAATATTCTAACCAATGATATTTGTGTTGAGATTTTAAGAATATCCTTCATGTATAAGTTAGAAATAAATTCTAAATTGATTATTAAAATATGAAAATAGAATTATCAAACACCGCAAAATACTTACAGGAGACTTTGCAGGCTACCTAACCGTGATAGAAAAGTATTCTGTTTTTCATAATTTTAACTTCCTCGATGTTTTGTATTAATAAAGTACAACAAATGTGTCTAGTTTAATTGGTTATAATTCTTGTCTTTGATAGAGGAGACCATGTTTCAAATCCTAGCATTGATATCTTTTTATATGAAATAAAAAATTGATTGTGTAGACGAAAATACTCTTCCTACTTTTACTCTCGTTGCAGGAAATTTGAAATGGAGCAAATCAAACTCTTTAAAATGTATTATAATTCATATAAAATAAAATTGATTGTGTAAACGAAAATACCCTTCCTACTTTTACTCTCGTTGCAGGAAATTTGAAATAGATCAAATCAAACTCAGCATGATCAAAATAAAGAAGTTGAAATAAAAAATTGATTGTGTAGACGAAAATACTCTTCCTACTTTTACTCTCGTTGCAAGAAATTTGAAATGGAGCAAATCAAACTCTTTAAAATGTATTATAATTCATATAAAATTGATTGTGTAAACGAAAATACCCTTCCTACTTTTACTCTCGTTACAAGAAATTTGAAATAGATCAAATCAAACTCTTTAAAATATATTATAAGTAGGGTAGATAAGCATGATCAAAATAAAGAAGTTGAAGGGGCAAATCTTGCCTAAAAATTGCCCACATTCAATAAGTTATGGCACGTAGGGTTTGGTGCCCATCGCTTCTTCCCACGTGATGCGGGTGCTTAATGATGGCATGTGGTTACATTTTCCCGTGCAATTAAGTAATTGAAACCATAAAACAAACACAGTATCTAATTAACGCATAAAGAATAATATATAAGATTAAGAGATTGATCGGATCTATCAATGAAGTACACATTGACTAAAATCTAAGAGTCGGAAAAAAAGAGAGAAAAAACGGTGTTAAATCTACTCCACAAAAACCCAACGAAGATCGAGTACTCCCCGACGATCCGCTCAATCACCCCGTTCCTCACCACCTGAGGAAAGAAAAGCCACAGCCCCGTCACCGCCACAAACCCCACCGTCAGCGGCGCCGACACAACCGGCGGCAACCACAGCCACCCCCACCCTTTCTCCCTCTCCCTCGCCCACTTCTTGACCGCCACCTCGGCGGCCACGCAAACCCCGTGAATCACGAAGAACCACGTCACCTCCCACGTGGGCCGGGCCCTCGTCAGGTAATAATAGATCACCTCGTGCATCAACCCGGACACCACGAACGACGCGACGACAGCTGGCAGCGCGGCCCACCTCCTCCCGATCACACCCTCACCGACACGTCTGACGGGAAGGTAAACTGTCGGTCGCAGGATGCCGGTCACGATGAGGTTCCACCTCCTTCCCCAGAAGTCCTGGAGGGAGGTGGAGAGGTAGGGCTCGTCGAACTGCGGTTCCAGCTCGAATCCTAACAGAGTTCGAGCTGGAACCGCGACCAGAGTCAAGAAGAACTCGAGCTCCAGGTAGAGGTGCAGGCAATGGAGGGCGTGGATCAGGAGAGGGTGAATGAAGGGGCGGTAGTCGTAGACGTTGAACAACGCAAGGAGGAGGGCGAACTTGAGAGCGAACAAGATCGATGGTCTGGGCAAGAAGGTCGTCTGTTCTTTGGAAGATCTATCTCGTATCTGGTACTGCATGGTTTCAGCACTCTGCAAGAAGTCCGAATCATTCTCTCGAGGTTTGAGTTTGACGGGGAGGGAGGCGAGGGAGATGAAGTGGAGGAGGGAGGGCGGCGGCGGGGAGAGAGGGGGGAGGTCGAGGGAGAGGAGGAGGAGCTTGAAGGTGGCGAGCCAGGAGAGGAAGAAGGCGGTGGGTGCGCCGAGGTGGACGGAGTGGAGGGAGAGAGGGAAGGTGACGGTGAAGAGGTAGAGGACGGGGAGGAGGGAGATGAGGCGGGGGAGGCCTTTGGGGAGCTTTGAGGAGATGAAGTAGGCGTAGGTTAGGCAGAGGAACGCCCATGTCCACACCTTGGTGAAGTTCTTGAGTTCGTCGTCCATGGTTGTGACTGTCTTCTACTCTTTATCTTTTTTTTTTTTTTTTTTTTTTTTTTTCTGTGGTCGAGCTAGCGTCGGCGATCTGAGTTTAGGCTTTTTGTGTGGATTTGTGTACAGTTTTGATCGAGAGGTTTTGGGAAGGTGGGGAGATGGGAGATTTGGGTGTGGATGCGGTAGGTGATGAGGATAATGATGAATATGGACAGGCAATTGAATGAATTGATCCCACCAGGTTGATGATCGATGGGGTCGATCGATCTTGACTATTCGGAAAGCAATTTGCAGCTAGATGTATGGATCTCTATTCTCTAATGTCACTTGCAGTATTTTAATTCGAAAAGAAGGAACAAGTTAGATTAACAATAAATTGTTAATTAGAAAGAGAGGAACATAATTATTGAAAGAGGTACTGGCTGGCTGAGGGTCCACAACATAACCATGGAGATGGATTATGCCTATGCCGATGTTTAATAATAATAACCCAATTCCCACCATCGATTTTAAGGAAAGATACCTTTGTATGTTTTTAACAATAAAGGTTCTTTTGGTTTTGGTGATAGTTTGGTTGAGATAGTTATAATATATGCATTGTCCACAATGCATCGTTTTTCTGAATTTTCTGCACAAACAATACAAGCATTGTTTGCTTGATTTGACACAAACTATCACTCAAAATGAGTGATAGTTACATCTCAAGTTTTTTGTGAGATTGTTGAGATTGTTTGTTTGAGATTGTTAGGTTTTGTTTTTGTTCCAAATATGACCCTACTTTCTTACGCGTTTTGCTTTTTCATATTAAAAACAAAGGATAAAAGTGACATTTCAAGCAAAAAAGTAATATAATTTATTTAAAACTTTAATAACTATCACAGAAACCAAACGATGTAAACTACAATACACCAATTTTTGTATATACATGTATATTATTATGCATGCATTGATGACAATCCATCAATTTAACTATCACCAAAACCAAACGAACCAAAAAAAAAATATAACGATAAATCTGCACATTTTGTCTATTAAATCTATCAAAATTGATGAAACAATTAGTGATGATAACTAGATTAATGAAATACGATGCTGACTATTCTGGATTTTCTTCAAAGTTAAAACCAGCACAAACCACTATAAACTGTTGTATCACAGTTAGAGGTGACAAATACATTTGATCCATAGATTGATGCATTGGATTATATGGATGGAGGATCGGACTATGGATCCAAGTAACATCTAAACATTGAACAATATGTAAATATTAAAAGTTCGGGTACCGAAAAGTCATAATGAAACATTTTAGATACCAAAATGTACATTTTTAATGATATTTTTATGGATTAATAACATTTTGTACCTTGTACTATTGCAAGTTAATAACTATACCCCTCTACTATTTATTTGCACTTTTATACTCTTCTATTGTCAAGATATAACTAACATACCCTTATGTTAAAAATTCTGTTAGTTGAACGTTTGTTGTCCGGATTGCCCCTTTTGTATCCCACAACAATTATTTTAAATTTTAAATTTACTTTGTATAATCCTTTCCCTTTAGCAGCGACGAAGGCCACCTTACTTTTGATGGATTCTTTCCGACGATGCAATCCAAAGCTGGGTTAACATCGAATCCCAATCCTAAGTTTGCGACGTAAACAGGGTTCATTCAATACAAGCTCTGCCGGTGGCCTAATCGTCCACTAGCTCATGTCGGTAGTTCTTTCCTTCTTCCCTCTTTTCGAAGATTGCACCAAAATCTAATCCCTCGTCATGGTTCAAATAATCCACGGAATCGTTGCGGTGAGCTTGTTCGTGAACCCAGAGAGTACTTCTGCCATGATTGAGCCAATCGTCGCCGTTATCAACCCCTAGGAGAATCGTCCTCCAAGCTTCGCTAAAGCCGCTGCACTTCCGCGATTTAACTGGTGGCGGCGGAGGTTCAAGTTTACACTCGTCGGCTAGAACCTTTATCGAAAAATTAGGCGGCGGTGCTTGTCGCCGGAGTCTTAATAGGATTCTTTGTCTATCAGGTGCGGCGGCGAAAGAAATTGGTGAAGGAAAGTATGGCAGAGCTTTCACTCTGCAATTAAGGGGTGAGGGTATTTCCGATGGGGAAGGGAAGATAATCAAAGCATTGGGAACTACTATTTATCGTCCTAACTATTCAAATTTATCGCCCTAAAGCTCATCGAAGTTACCTAATTGCCCTTGTTTTAATGGGTTCACCCGCCTCCTCCGGACTCCGCCCTACCTGTTTGACGCGGTAACGGGGTATGTTGAAATGAAAACCCGTCGCCGGCGGGCTGGAGGCTGGTCGGGCGACGAATTTTTAATCGATCCCATTGCCGTAACCAGGAATTACTATTGCCGACGGCGATCCAGCCGGAAGAATAGCGACAGGACTCCAAGGCTCCTCGATTCGCTGCCGTTGAATTCGGTGGACGTTTCTCGCGGAGTCAATGTATTCCTATCATTTTCCTGTGTTATCGAGTAGTGGAACACGACACCCTGCCTCCTCCACCACCGTAGCACCCATCGTTCACCTCGGAGAGCGAATATTGTTGTGCAGTGGCCAGCTGTGGCAACCCGCTCCGCAAATGAACGGCCGACCGAATCTGAAAAGAGTAGCCGCCTGTTCTTGCTAGAAATTGAAGTTGGCATAGTCAACGAATGACCTCACGTAATTTCCCACATCCGAAATTCCTTCCCTGACTCCCACACATGGGCGGCGGCGAGTTTGGGCACGGCGGCGCCGAGTTTGGCCAATAGCAGGGAGGCGCGAGGATTGATATTTAGGGCGTATATTTTGGCCAGGCGAGGAAGAGGGGAAGCCTTTGGGCTCCCGGGTTTGATTGTTTTTAGTTTAAGTCATTTTTTATTTAGGGGCAAAATTGTCCTAGCAGTTGATTTAGGGCGATAAATTTAAATATTTAGGGCGTTAAATAGGAATTCAGTAATTTTTTTATTAATTAATTTTTTTATGGAAATTAGTTATACAACATATGGACAACTTAGTCATTTTGTAACCCTTTTAACAGTTATCTAACAAAAATAGGGATGGAAGGCTAAAGTTGTTACGTAATGGGTATTTTTGTCCAAAATATTAATAAAGGGATATATTTGTTAATTTACCATAGTAGAGGGGCATAAAATGCTATTAACCCTATTTTTATATAAAAAAATAAATTTTAGATACCAAGCTATAAAATATAAAAATTATAGGTGCTAAACTGTAATTTGCCAACAATTCATGAATCCGTTAGATATGAATTTAATTTAAATTAATTCAATTAGTTATATATTTTAATAGATAAACTGAACTCGATTACAAATTGCCACCTAACCATGATCCAACCATTCCAATTTGCAAAACTAGCAATGCCAACATAAACTGGTTTGACAAGTGACAACCTTGTTACAAATTCCAAATAAGAAATCAGTGGTTGGTGTGTTTGTAAATTCTGTTGACAACATTTTGTTAAGGGCTAAATTGCAAGTTTGGTCACTCGAATTGCTACAAAATTTCATGTTTGGTCACTCGAATTGGTTTATTCCATCCGTAGTCACTTAGATTAGGAACACATACCAAGTTCAGTCACTCTCCGTTAACCTCCGTCAGACTCCGTTAATGGAGGCCGTTAAGTGATGACGGGGCTAACAGAAAGTCCCCATCAGCATAATTTGACCCTAAAAATCGACAACCCGACCCGCCACGTCCCTTTTGCCCGCGAACCAACCCGAGACCCAACCTGAGAATCGACCCCTCTCCATTTTTTTATATGTCTATCGTCTGTGTTCTTCAACCTCTCATACTGTGGCCGGAGTTCACAATCATGCAAATCAAACAAAGGGACAGAACTTCTCCGCAACTACGCTTCCTATATCTGGCATCGTTCTTCTTCTTCTCTGAATCCTCATGCTCAGGTGCTATCCACGGATTCCATCCCTCATTATCCCCTTAATGTGATTCTCATCCAACACGAGCTCAAGACTTGAATTCGTCGCATCTCACATGGCGTCTCCCTCGAAACCGGCTCTACGACTGAACACGTCGTCGGTCGAATATCTGATTCACCCCATCGATGTAATTAGAAGAACTTTATTGGCATCCCCACATCTAAAAAGACCCATAAATAAGCCTCAACTTTCTGAATATCACTCTCAAATCTCGACTCCCATTGTCGATGACAAGCAGAAGAAGCAAAAGCAGAACAAAAAAATCCCAATCCCCAATTGAGAAGCAGCACAAGCAAATACAAATCTCTCATCATTCCCCTCTTAATCGTTGCCACCACTAGAAATCTTCTTCCCCACTTGCGCGCCGACATCGTTGGAACCCTTTATCTATGACTCTCTTCCGTCGACATCTTCTTCCCCATTTCGGGACCTGATGTTGGACGCGAAAAACCCAGTACCGATCTACCGCTACAGAGGTGATGATTGGGATTTAATCCGGAAGCCACTGATTTTGGTGAGGTTTCATGATAATGGCAGGGTCTCTCTAGAACCCAGATGAAGCTGAAGCGGCGATGGTCGAGTTGCATCCCGATGGCAGGCTTTCTTCAGATCCCAGACGAAACTGAGGTGAGTAATAGTGGAGAGTGAGATATTGAGTCGTCGAAGAGTAGTGGTGGAGCGGCAGGAGTTGGTTTCTTCGGGGCGTTGGTGGAGAGGGAGAAGGAGAGCAAGTCAAGAGGATCATTGCACCGATGGTGAATCGATTGACGGCGGTGACGGTCGCGATGGCTCTGTTGCCGAGTCTTCACTCCTCGTGGACGTGTGTGGCGGGGATTCCGGGGGCAATGGAGTTAAGTTCATTGTCGCATAAACCAGGATAAGGAGGATCGGCGGCGATGCCGCCTCTGAATCCGCTGGATCTAATGTCAGATTCCCAGGACGCCGTTGGGTCTCTATTGTAGAGCTCGCGGACGAAGGGGTTAGAGGGAGAGGGATGAGGAAATTGGGAATGATTATGGGAGGTTAGGTCGGTCAGGTCAAGAGGGTCG